TGTAAATAATATTAATTTATTTTATAGTAATAAATAAATAAATGAGCATTGTGTTGTTTTGGTAATGGGAATCAAATTACATACATAATTTTTAATGCTAAATACTGTAAAATTAATTTTGTAAAAATAATAACATTTTATTACTAATCTTTATTTTATTTATTAAATTGTTATATTAATTTGCATCACTCTAATGCTAATTAATCTAACATTACGTTATAAAATTTATATAAAATATAAATAAATTATCTACATTTATTATTTTATTAATACCGCAGGTGTGCGAAGATCGATGCTGCGTCGCCCACCCGGAGCTGTTCCCGAAAGCGGCCAAAAAGCGCACCACAACTACACCTCCCCCTCAGGACATACCGGTCGAGTGGACTGAAGCGCTGCCCTGCGAAGAGGACGGCTTTTTTCGCAACCCTAATGATTGTCACAAATTTTACCGATGTCACTCCAATGGTGGCAAGGGCGCTTTTGGGAAGACCCTGTTCAATTGCAATCCGGCCACCGCTGTGTTCGATGAGTCATTCGGTGTGTGTGTGGCGCCCGAAGATACCGAGGCTTTTTGCGATGACTCAGCCTATGGTCGCCCTGATTCAGCCTAGGGTGTTTTGAGTTAATGTTTATTATACTCACTTGCATTTGACATTTATGTGTATGGCATTTATGCTACAATATTTGCTTGTTTTTTAATAAAATAATTGTTTAATTTTTTTGTAAATGATTTTTTGGTGTTATTTAATGATGATAACTTTTGGCCGCCCACCACCCTAAACCACTATTTAATTCATGTATGTAATACAGTGTACACCCAATTGAATATCTGGTTCATCATAACATCGTATAATGTATTACTTACTAAAACCATGTAGTGTATAATGAACTCATAGAAAAATTGTGTTTAAAAAACACATATTTACAAACGTGTTGTCAGTATTATATATTTTCCGTGTCTTATATGTTAAGTGAAAAAAAAATATTTTTTAATGAAAATCATCTAAACATTTGCGCAATATTTTTGACTAAAATTATTTGCTTTTAAGTAATTTATTTTTTTAAGTGTAAATCAATACATGTTTTATAATAATAAATAAATTTTTGGTGAAATAAGTTTAAGATTTTATATAATTAATGAGATTTTATGTTACATTGAAATATTGTTAATTTTAAAGATATTTCTGGCAATTGTTCAAAAAATACCTAAAATATAATAATTTACTTTTAATTTTGTGAAGTAATAATTCATTTATAAAATTTTGATAAATAGCTACTGATTTAAATCATTTCAATTGTAAATGTGGTTAATAAATAAAACATAATACTTATAAATTATTACTAGTTTAATAATTAATATTTCATTATTAATTATCACATTACTGTATAAGCAAAATAAAAAATGTTTATTAAATTAATTAAATATTTGTTAATAATTGTAACAATAAATATCGCCAGTATATTGGCCCAGAATTTAGGGACCGCTGGTAACCCTAGGGGACAACATTGCCGTGGATTTAAGCCTCAAGAAATACGTATGTATTGTTATTGTAATACATTACACAATCTACACTATACTCCCGTTATAATTGACAAATTATTAAGTGTTAACAAGGGTAGTATTTATATATGTTTTTAAAAATTAAGTGAAATGATAAATAGGAATGTACCATTTTTCATTACTATATTTCCAAAATATAGAAAACCACCAAATTATTAAATAACCATAATAAAATACAATATTCATAAATTACAGTTTACAATAAATTACTTTTATATTACTTTACTAAATATTCATATTCAATTTAACAATACATTACAAAAAATCTGTATACAAATAACTTAATTAATATTTTAAAAGTGAATATTAGTTTTTAATTTGTTAAATAGAGTAACCAAAGTCATACATATAATTTATTCTATATAAATTTATTATATAATATTTATATTATATTAAATGATTGAGATTACAGTAAAACCTATATATTTACAATTTATTTAATTAAATTAACAATTAATATTATTTAAAACTTTTTATCAATACTCATATAACTTAGTTCTAAAATTATCTTTATGATTTGAGACAAGATTTAACAAGGTCATAATATATACTCTATTTAAAATTAAAATGTAAATTATTACCAAAATTTGATATTTAACTATAATATAACATAGTGTTCATTGGCCCCAAGTCTATAATCTTTATAAATATTTAAATGTCCATAATACAGATGTACAATAATAATTTACAGTTTATAATTATTTCAATTAGCAAATCATCAAAATATTGTATGTAATTATAATAAATCATGTTTATTTAACCCTTAATAGCCTACCCGACCCCATACATCGGCAGTCTAGACCGGGCCGACCGGTGCAAACAGCTATTCCCCAAGTACAACAACACAGGCACCGCCAAACTGAGCTTTGTCGGTCAAAACACATACACCAATCCGTGTAAAGTTGAGTGCGCCCTTTGCCGGGACGAGGAGCCAGACACCAGGGACAATACTATCCGATCGTACCCAGCTCATGCCACGCTCATAAATGAGATTATTCAATGCCACGACTCGGTACAGGTGTTTGAACAATATATGGAGGATGGTATCAAATGCGGACCATATCATGTTAGTAAAAGTTTTGCTTTTGTAGCAAACTGTAATTATTTATTTATATATTCGCTATATAATGTAAACCAATTAAAAATGATTTAAAAATATTATTAATAATTTATTTTAACAAACAATATAATGGCAGTAAATATAACCAGATAAAATAAAAAAATTTTGTCTATGAACGAAAAACAAACTAATAATTAATTAATTTAAAATTACCACGTAGGTATGCGAATTCTGTCCAGGCATACTGTCAGAGCTGGTAATTTTAAATGGACTGGAGATTCTAACCTAATGGTAGTGATTGTGTCGTACGTTAAATACATTTCACTAATTGTGTACATCTGGTATAAAAAGCCAAACAAACAAAATACTTTTGTTATAGCTGATTTTACAGATATTTTAATAGACATGGTTGATATAATGCTATTTATGATATCCATATCTGAATGCAACTGTTAATATTATAACTGTATATGATAAAACATATTGATGTATGATAAAATAAATTAATTCAATAATATTCATTTATTTAATATTATTGCATTAATACGAGTAATATTCTATTATTATCCTAATATACATATAGATTATATTAGATAGTAATATTCTTATTATTCATATTTTCATTTATACAATAATATTATTAAATCTTGCATTTGAAGTATCGGGCGTTGACAATATGAAAATTAAACTTATTTTTTTAATTAGATTAGTGTAATGTTTTCTTATGTTGATTATGTTAATAATGAAATTAATAGAAAAATATATTTGTCAGGCAATTGGCAGTTGTAATTTATTTTGCATTATTATACCTAAAATTGCTATTATGATTAAATAAGTGCGTCAACAAATATAAACTTATAAAATATAAATTAATATATTGTATTTTGTATTATAAAAATTAATATTTATACCTAACAATACAATATTCTATTTATATTTTACTAAACAACAAGGAGAATTATGTAATTTTTATAATTAAACAATTAATTAAAATTAGCTAATTTAATTTTTATTTATACTTTTAAAAATTTGCTAACACTTGGCATTACTCTTGAGTTTAATTGATTTAATTTTATGAATTATATAAGAAGTACACTATTAAATGTACACAAAATTACCCACTATTTAATGCAGTATATAATAAAACATGCCTAAATATATTACACGTTTAAGTGACCTAATTTACCAATCAAGTTTTATTGTGTGAAAAACTGTATTTTATAAGTATTTACTTGCATTTTAAAAACTAAAAATGTAAATTATTTAACGACGATTACTTTAAGCACACAAAATAAAACCACTCGACTATACATGTATGTAATACACACCCAAATAAATATCTGGTTCATCATAACGAGTATGTGTTGTATAGTGTACTCAATGGAAGTCTGAAATTTAAAACACATATTTTAAACTTGTTATCAGTATTTTGTGTCTTAAATATCAATATATTTTACCCACAAAAAAAATTGAGCGTAAAAATCATCCAAACTTTTCCTCAATTTTGTTATTATTTTATGTGTATTTCATTGAAATATATTTTAAGTGATAATTAATTCCTGTTTTATATTAATAAATAATTTTTTATGTGAAATTAGTTTACCATTAATATAATTAATGCGAAAATTTAATGTTTCATTGAAATATTGTTAATTTTCAAAGTTATTTCTGGCAATTGTTCAATAAAATCACTTAAATATAATAATTTAATCTTAATCTTAAAGTATTACTACATTTTGGTTTAATACCAGTAATAACTAGTTTATAAAATAACTTATTGCAATTTAATAACTAGTTAATAAAGTAAAATATAATAATTATAAACTTGATGATTAATATTTAATTATTAATTATAACATTACAGGCAAAAGCAAAAATGTTTAGCAAATCAATCAAATGTTTTATATTAATTTTAATAATAAATACCACGATCATATTGGCCGGTTGGGCGGAGGAACTGGATCAAATAGGTAACCCTGTCGGCCATAATTGCCGTGGTTTTAACCCAGAAGAAATACGTAAGTTTATTCAAATTACTATTGTTTAATTATAAAATACAACTTTACAATTATTTTAAAAATAAGTCTTTAGTGTATTTAATAATAATTATTGTGGATATTTATATACTAAAATTTAGCTCACTAAATTACAATGAACTTGATTTTGAATAGAATTAACTAAATTTAAAAGCATGAATTAAATAATAATTACATGTAAAACAATTATAAATTATATAAAATATTTTTTAGTTAAATATTTTAGTCAATTAATATTCGGTAAAATACAATAATCCATCTCATATTATTATTTAAAAACTAGATAAAATATAAAAAATTATTAATTTACAGTCTTTAATTATTTTAATTTATTTAATATAAGTACAATATAAACAATTACTTTAAATAAAAATAACTATTATTATAACAAATTAAATATCTATATAATTAAACCTGTCCAATAATCTATTTTACTAGCCTACCCGACCCCGTACATTGGCACTTTGGACCGAGCTGACCGGTGCAAACAGTTATATCCCAAGTACAACACCACAGGCACCGCCAAACTGAGCTTTGTTGGCCAAAACACGTACAACAATCCGTGTAAAATTGAGTGCGCCCTATGCGATAATGAGATGCCCGGCACCAAGGACAAAACTGTCCGATCTTACCCAGCTCATATAACAATTAAGGACGACATTATTAAATGCCAGGACTCGGTAGAGATTTTTGAACAGTATATGGAGGATGGTGTCAAATGCGGACCATTACATGTATGTGAATTATTTTTGCTTGTTAACTGTAAATAATATTAATTTATTTTATAGTAATAAATAAATAAATGAGCATTGTGTTGTTTTGGTAATGGGAATCAAATTACATACATAATTT